AAAAAAAATACAAAAACTCCAGATAAGATTATGGACTAATAACTTGTTAAGTTCTTTTTGTTTTCTGTACATGAGATATTACTGGCAAAAACTTGGTAAATTTTCTTTGTGTGAGAACAATTGAGTAAACTTTCTCCAAGTTAAATTCTCTTGATGAAAGGAGACATTCTCTGCCAGCTTCTGGAGACGCCTTACCTAGTTTTGCTTATAAGACTGATTCATTCTCCTTTACTGCTTTAGGTAATTAATATCTCATCCCCAAATACTCCAGGACTACGCCAGCTTCAGGGAAGAAAGCAGTTGAAGGATCTTGTGAAGAAGGTTTTTGCCAGAGATGTTACCTTTCTGTTTCATTGTTGTAATTTATCTCTGGTAATATGTGCCACCATTTTGTCAAGTACTAGATTAAGTCCTTTCAGTACATTTATTTAGGTTCAAGCAGCTCGTGATGAAATGCAGTGGGGTGAGGAAGGACCTCCGCCTTTACTTGTGAAAATTGCACCAGATTTATCTAAACAAGATCTTGAAGATATTGCAGTGGTATGGAAGCTTTTCTACTCATGTAAACTAACTTGGGGCTGAGGCGTAGTAGTTGTTGATTTTGTTCTTATGGCTTGTTTTCTTTGTACTATTGTAGGTGGCTGTTGCTCTTCGTGTGGATGGACTGGTACATTTTGAAAGAAAAACTTTTAGTATTCTTTTTCGTGCTATTTTATTAGTAATTCCTTTTAGTGTTGGATTTCGAGCACTTTGGTGGTGGGAGATTCTTGATGACATTGACTAATTTGTTTCTGACTACCTATCCAGGAAGGGGGAAAAAAACTAATGACTTTGAGCCTATAGTGACAAACTGTTTGTTCCATGTAGAGGTTCATTGTTTAATATATCCTCAAATAATCATTAACAGCCGGAAGAGGAGCCTTGTAGCAACAATAAAGTTATCTCCGTGTGACCTATAGGTCATGCGAGCCGTGGAAGCAGCCACTAATGCGTACATTAGGTTAGGCTGTCTACATCACACCCCTCAGGGTGCGGCTCTTCCCCGGACCTTACGTGAACGGGGTGCCTTGTGCACCGGGCTGCCCTAATTATTAAAAGCCGAGCAACTCAACTTTGAAAACCAAGGACCTGCTTGTTATATGGATGATTATGTCATATCTTCCAAATTGGCAGCACCCTACCTTTGTGGCTTTAAAGTACATGATTTTCCTGTGGCGTGCCTTTGTGGGTAACTTTACCCAGCTTTCATTGACTGTAGTAAATCGCTCTGTTAGGTTTTAGGAATTTGGGGTGTCTAAGTTAACTTGGTTTCCCACCTTTCATTGTATGAGAAAATTGGTTATCTCATGGATAGGTTGCTTTAGTTCAGTTTTTGCTGTGCTACGGCATCCCTTCTGGGAAGATATAGTTTTGACTGTGATATCTGCATTTGCAGTTGTAGGCTTAAATGTAGTCAAGTTTTAAGGGTATCTACTTCATCCTACCAAAAATCCCAAGCTTTCAGGGTGTAAACTTTTCTGAACCGATGTAATTGGTCAAATTATCCTCTCTATCTGTAGACTTCTAAGTTCCAAATTGTATCCCCGCTGGTCAAATTGTTGCCCACTATCTGAAGCTCGAAATTGTTTCCAAAGTATTTCATCAAAGGAATCTTACATTCCCTCCATTTCCTCGGTCTCTTTCTTGGTCACTACTATTTGATAGTTATGGCGGTTTTGTTTTTGGTTTGAATGAAATCCTTTCATTTGTCACATATTTGCCTATTTACTTGGAGGCTGAGATTATCCCAAGACTGTCTTCATAACATTAATTATGTAGTCATTCTTGGAGCTTGCAATGTACCCTTATGCTTCCTTTTCCTCAAATCAATGTTGGACATAACATTCAACTTTCAACAATCTTGAAATCCGCTAATTGTGGCTTCCTGTTTGTTAAAGCTACTTAGTGATCACTTTCAGTCCTGGACATGTTATTGATGGACACTTTATTTTCTATCTAGTGACAAAAGTAAAATTTCATTTGTTACAAATAATTTATAGAGAGATTTGGAAGTTTGTGTTTATCTGCAAACAATTTGTCTGAGCCTTGTATATTTATGGATACATGCCAGTTAGACTGTCCAGCATCAAAATGGCAGTCACTTCAGTAACAACTAGAATAATATCAGAAATAACTTGAAGAAACTGCTAAGAGTAGGGGAAGTTGTCCTCTTCTGGTCCGATAGTTTAACAGCTACTATCATGGCTAGCAGGAAGTGCATTGTTAAGCGAAAGGGAAGGTTACATGTAATGCTAGTTTACTTGTTCACTGTTGAGGTTAAGATATTGGATTGATCTGAAGAATAGCTTATAGTTACAAGATCTGCTGTCTCATCTACTACAACTCTTATTCCCACTGATGATACAATATATTGTAAGGTAGTAGCCAAATTTAGGTTAACATTAATTAAATAATAGTCTTGACAGAAAATATGTAACTTACAAAATATTTAAATTGTTGAAATGTGTGGCTATCTCGTCTAATATCTTAAGTTGTTAGAGAGCACACTTTTATTTACTTAATTATATCTTCAACAAGCATTCTCACACGTGCGCCTTATTCTTTTTCATGGCCAAACACGTGAATTTGGTAACAGTGAGACTTGACCTTTGCCTGCTCTTGTACCATGTTGAAGTGTGTGACCATCTCATCTAAGAGCTTAAGGTATTAGAGATAGCACACGTTTGTTTACTTAATTTTATCATCAACACTATGAAGCTTGACATGCCTTAACACTTTTCCTCCTTTTTCTTTATTGTTGCCAACTTGGATGGTGCAAGCACCTTTCATTTGTATCATGTACGCAAATATGACTTCAGTGCGTGCAAAACTATAGATGTTCTAAGTGAAAACAGGATACTTCCATATGACAAGATTGCAGGGAAAATATGGCAGATTAAGGGAGATACATTTTTGCCCTTTTTATAGTTAGAGGAGCAAAACTATTTATTAATTTTTTTAGAGTTCGGGACTGGGAGGACATATGAATATAGTACAAGGAAAAGGATACATGCTATGAAGAATTTTTTGGGAACTCGGATTGGAGAACATTCTGACACAGAGAACTGGATCAACTGGTCACTTATTCTATAATATTCACATTTAAACTGTTAAGATCTTGGCTTTTTTGTATAATGTATCAGGATTTTCATGAAACTGACACCAAGGTGGTGCCAATCTCCAATAATAGGAAATATTGATGTATTAGCAAAGAGCAACCAAAAGAAGGGGAGCGAGAAACAAAGCTTTCTTATGTAGATATTGTAACTTCCTCCAACAAGTAATATATGCCTCGTGGTTGCTCCAGGGATCAAGCTAAGCATCAAGTAAAGTGGGAATTGAAGTTCTTATGTGAACCATTTCTTGTAAAAAGAATTTGTGCCATTGACATTGCTTCAAATGCTAAGTGTTATCCATGAAGAAATAACTATTGGTAGGAGCATTCCTCCCTTCCCCCCATCCCCACCCTACTTCCCAATAGAAAAGAAATTAGAAATAAAAGCAAAAATAGAGATATGGGTAGTGAAGTTTATGTTTTTTTTAATGTTTGACCACCGTATTCCGCTAAAATGTTTTATTTTTTAACAATAAATACCAACATCATATGCTTGATGATTGTAGATTATATCAAATACTACAGTCCAAAGACCAGATTCCATAAGTCAAAACCCTGTGGCTCAAGAGACTGGTGGCTTGAGTGGGAAGCCACTCTTTGATATGTCAACAAATATACTGAAGGAGATGTACATTCTGACTAAGGTATGTTCTGTTATCCCGTTATATCAGAAATTTGTGCATGCTGCTGTGTCGGATTTGATGTGACAGATAACCTCAGTATGTTTGTTCTAACAGGGAAGGATTCCTCTGATTGGCACTGGGGGTATTAGCAGGTAATCCACTCCCTTGTCCATGATTGTAACAAGTAATAGCGTCCTTGGTTAGATTTTATGGTATCTACTTAAATACATCTTACCCCTCCCTAGACCCCACTTGTGGGAACTCACTGAGTTTGTTGTTGTTGTTGTTGTTACTTAAATACTTGTATTATGCATTTCTTGCAGTGGTGAGGATGCTTACAAGAAAATTCGAGCTGGTGCCACTCTTGTTCAGCTTTATACAGCGTTTGCATATGGAGGCCCTGCACTTATCCCCGATATAAAGGTATTGGTTTGAAGTATTTTGGAGTTCTGAATATCTATCATATAGATTTTTGTTTAGTTTCTATAAATTTGTACAAAGTATAGTAAAGATGTGGTACAAGATAGTACACCCTGATTCTAACAGATATTCTGGGCATACATTTCAAAAGTATCTCGTGCATTTTGATTATGGGACTGAGGCTGATTCTCGAGTTCCCATGAACGAGACGAGACGCAAGAGAATTTTTGAAATGCATGTTAGGACCTTTTTTTTTGCTATTAGTTTATTTCTTTATTCTTTTTGGGTCAAATTTTCTTTTGGCTAGTAGTAACTTAAAAGTTTGTTCATAGAATAATGATTAGGTAGGGTGTAAGAAAGGAGAAATCTTTTCTATTTTTCTTTGGGCCGGGGAAGCTGCAAGGAGCGACCGGGCCAGTGGAAGAAGAGGGATAAGGGATGAAAGGGTAAAGATATACCCTTGGGATGGTTGACAATATTAAGTCTCAAAATATTTATAAGAAATTTAAGCATCCGATTTACTTTTATACCATGCCCAAGGTATTAGGTATATACCATGGGTGTGCAAATCCACCGAACTAAAATACAACCAAACAGAGGACTGATAATCCATCCCTTATTTCATTATACTAGAATGACATCAAGCATTGAATCAATCCAAAAGTATAGCTCCTTGTTTAGTGGTTTTGCATACTCCCCATCCCCTTCCTATCGTGTGTGTGTGTGTATGTGTGTGAATGCTGCAGTTTTTCTGGGGGACTTCACCCAGATTATGTTGCGTACTATTGTTTTTAACCTGGAAATTGGCATAACTTGTAATCACTTTCCTCCTCATAGACCTTATACTTGATTGGATTCACTGAACATGGTTGTAAACTTCTCATTGTCTTCGATTTTACTTCATGAGTATTAGTGATTGCAAAGGGAAAAAATGCACATTCCACTCTAATTTAATCATATCTGAGATTATACTACTGCTATTGATGCAAGCTGCTTAATCCTCCGCAAGCCTATTTGTTACCGTTTTCCTACTCTTGTTTGCAAAAGAGACATATTCTGCTCATATCTTGTGACTTGCTATGATATCTTCTTTATTGCTACTCTTGTTTGTAGACGAGTGAACATTCTGCTCACATATTACAACACTCTCTCTTTCTGTAGGATGAACTTGCTCGTTGCTTAGAAAAGGATGGTTATAAGTCAGTCAATGAGGCTGTTGGAGCAGACTGCAGATAGTAGTAGTTGATATACTAAACCAGTCTTTTGAGTTTGAGGAGCAGAGCACATTTTTGCCACTTATAATAAATGATATTTATGGTTCCCTCCCATTTGGCCTCATATCATTTGCTTCATAATTTGTGATGTCTTCCCAAATTTTAGCTGTTTATGGATTTCGTGGCAGGTGCCAGTATTTTTGAAATGTAATATAGGAACAAAATTTTGTATGTTTGGTTGAGTTTTCTCTTGATATGGAATTAAATCCACACAATACAAACTACAAATGGTGAATTCTTGCTCATAGTTAGACTCTTGATGTCGTTTGCTTTTTCCTTGACATACAAAATTTCGTTTGCTTTCCTAGTGCTTCACAGACAATTGATATAATTGCATTAACCGTGTTGTAAATAGGTACTTGGATCAATTTCTGAAAAAGGGGGAGTTGTGAAGCCTAGAAAGGCGGAAGCGAAAAATCGCTTACACCGAGTTCCCCAACAGCAACTTAGCTTAGTAGCAGTACTCTTTATACTGCTAAAAGCTTTAGGCATCTTTTGAGTATGTTCAGCTTCCAAAATTCAGAAAATATGGCTAGTAGATAACTTTTTTGTTATTGTTGAAAGCGATCTTGTTCGGGAGATAAAGAGCTGCTCAAACACGTCAGAATGAAAATTATGGAATTGGAAGAAATCGTGTATAACTAGGGACTTCAATGTAATTAACCAGGACAATAAGTCTTAAAGCATTAAATTTTTTTCTTATTGTTTTTTGTCGTTTGCTTTTTCCTTTTACTAGTTGTCTTAGAGTTGAATATCCAACGATGAATGGAAAGTTCCATCCACTCAAGAACATGTTAAATCATTCTCAATCTATGTTTAAAGTAGGACAAGAGGAGTACAGAATAAAGCAAATTAACTCGGCTTTCATTTGACATAAATCACCCTAGAAAGTAAAAACCTTAAGATGGAATAAAAGCGGACCAAATAGAGAAACAAAAACATAAACAGAACGTTAATGCTTATCCATTTTGGTTTCCTCTATCCAAAATCTGCTTCATAAAATGGTACACCACACCAACTAGAAAAATGATACAACTTTTAGAGGATTGTCACTAGTTTTGCTTAGTCTTTGCTCGCTCACTTTTAGTTGCCACAAAAAAAAGGCAAGGAAAATACCAACACTCCTCAATGACCGATAGCGTACAAGTACCGTGAGGGAAAGGTGAAAAGAACCCTATTTAGGGAGTGCAATAGAGAACCTGGGATCCGATACGAACAATCAACCGAAGGAGCAGAGCTTAGAGCCTTTACTTTATGTAAAGCGCACTCACTCTAACGGCGTACCTTTTGCACGATGGGTCAGCGAGGAAATGGGAACAACGGCTTAAGCCATTAGGTGTAGGCGCTTTCCAGAGGTGGAATCTTCTAGTTCATCCTATTTGACCCGAAACCGATCGATCTAGTCATGAGCAGGTTGAAGAGAGCTCTAACAGGCCTTAAGCTGGGTTTTCACCTATTTTTTAGTGTTCGGACATTTCTAGGACATATTCGTTGCCGATTTGGGGTTTCGATGGAAGATACCGCTGAGGTTATACACCAAATACACACGTGATTCTGCTCTGGCAGTAGTGCATGCGCAATTCAGCTCTGGAAAAACTCCCCGAGATCCGGAGAGAGATGAAGTTAATAGTCAACCTCTGCCTCTCAAATAGCTTTCTTTTCCAACACTTCTATGTGGAGATGGATGTAATATTAATATGATTGATAGTTTAAGTTTACTATTTGCTCACTTGACAATGAGCGCTTCGGACTTGGTACATTCTCTCTGAGCGCTTTGGACTTGAGATTCACGATGCTACGCTGTTGGATTTTTTTAGAAAAAGGAGCAACAATAAGATTATAAGTATTGATTGAAAATGTCTGCCTCCTAAGATACTCTCAAAAGTGTGTACAATTCTCGAAACTGCTTTTCAAAAAAATACTTTTAAAAAATTATTTTTTCCGGCTTCTCAAAAATTGTTTCTACTTCTACTCAATAGCACTATTTTTCCTTTTAAAAACTTGACCAAACACCTTAACTTTGAAAAGAAAAAAAAAAAAAAAAACTTGGCAAAACAGGCAATAAGACTCCTTCCTCCCGTCATGATATTAGTTGCTCTAAGGATTCAACTGTTCAATTATGGATTTTTCTACAATACTATAATTACAAGAAAATCCGATAATTTACTACATTTCACTAGCTATTAAGGTTAAACTTTGGTTAAATCTTTAAGAAAAACCTACAAGCCTCCTACATAGTAGCAAATTACTAACACTGAATATGATAAATCAAAACTCCACTCAGAGTAAACATAATGTAAAATTATGCATCATCATCATACTCGTTACAGAGACCCAAGTACTTGTATGTATCAAGAGTAAAACCTTACGTCAAGACCTTAGTAAAACTCTCTAGCTTTTGGTTTTGCATTTAGGGTTTAGCTTTCTAACGTGGAGCATGGACAATAGCAGAGTAGTTAGGCTATTTTCACGCCAAACTAAAAAATCCATTAAGATACAAGGAAGGGAAAACAAGAGAACAGCTTCTTATAACAAAAGTTATGTTGCTCAAAGGAAGATAATTAACCAGGCTAACAACCAATGATTATCTCAATTATATCAACGGAAAAGGGTCAAAAATGCCTCTAACGTATTGAAAATGGCTCAAAAATACCCTCCGTTAACCTTTCGATCCACAAATGCCCCTAACGTTTGTTTTTTGGCTCAAACTTACCCGTATATCTAATAAAAGGGTCAACAATACCCCTAACGTATTAAAAATGGTTCAAAAAACCTTTTGGTCCGCAAATGCCCCTAACGTTTGTTTTTGGGCTCAAACTTATCCCTATATCTAACAGAACTAACCTGGTCAATTTTTTTACTTTAACTTCGCCATGTGACATTTTCTTAATCCGCCACGTGTATTATTTGTATTAAATAAACCCACTTGCATCTTTTAAAATATCCAACGACCCTGACCCACTCCTATATATTTGGACGGTCGGCTAAAAATAATTACATTCGCTAGTTAAATATAAAAAATATACATTGATTTTATATAAAAATATGTATATTATACATTAATATTTTAATATATATTTTATATGATATTATTTTTAGGAAAAATTATACGGTGTAGTTTTCCCTATAGTTTTCCCTATTAATTATGATCTATAACTCGAATTTATTAAGCAAATCTGATAACGGAACGATAATTTTTGCTAATATTTTAGCTCTATCGTTATATATTAAAACACTATTAGTTCCCACTGAAAAGATCATGTGAAGTCCATTAATGTGCTAAGCAGTTGGATATGTATATAATTAAAGGTTTTAAATAATTTCCTTTCCATCTGTTTCTTTGCTTCTCCTTTAGAATCATATAAATAGAACATTATCATTTTTATGTTTGCAAATTAAAATTTTATTTGCTAAACTTGTTAAGATCTGCAAAATTTGAAAGGAAAATGACACCGTATAATTTCTCCTAAAAATAATATCATGTAAAATATATATTAAAATATTAATATTTCGAAGCCTAACATCCTTGCAAGCTTTGGATTCTTTCCTATCTTTGACCGAAAAAGAGGTTACCAAGCAAGTGAAACTGTACTCTGCCTCTTCTCCTTCCTGTACTTCTGTTCTTCTTATTCTCGTATTCGAAATCGGAACAAGCTCTTTTTTAACAACCTCGCTTTGTTAGCTTCTTGTTAGCGGTACTAGTTTGTAGTCTTTATTGACCTGAAATACATACTTTTATATATAATCAATGTATATTTTTTATATATTTAACTAGTGAAATTAATTATTTTTAGCCGATAGTACAAATATATAGGAGCGGGTCAGGGTCGTTGGGTATTTTAAAAGATACATGTGAGTTTATTTAATACAAATAATACACGTGGCGGATTAAGAAAATACCACATGGCGAAGTAAAAGTAAAAAAATTGACCAGGTTTGTTGGATATATGGGTAAATTTGAGCCCAAAAACAAACGTTAGGGGCATTTGCGGACCCAAATGTTAACGAAGGGTATTTCTGAGCCATTTTTAATACGTTAGGGGTAAGTTTGAGCCAAAAAACAAACGTTAGGGGCATTTGCGGACTAAAAGGTTAACGGAGGATATTTTTGAACCATTTTCAATACGTTAAAGGGCATTTTTGGCTCTTTTCCGTTATATCAAACATGATGCTTGAGAGAGGAGGGTTTCCTGTCATACAATAATCGAACCAAAATGTATGTGGATCATCTTTCAAATTCTACCTCAATTACCGAACAGAGAGACATCTGTCAAAATTGTCACCACATTACAAGAAACTCTGCATGTCAAGCTCCACAAAGGAGCATGGATCTGGGATGTCAAATTCCTTGAGGACCTGAAACAATAGCCAAAACATAAAACTCCTGAATCGGGAATGATAATTTGCACTAGAAAACAGCCCACACATACCATAAGGTCTAAATTCAATGCACAACCAGGAACCTTTGCCTGTTATTTTCAATTGTTCGAAAGACATGCTCTATTATGAATCAGTACACAATTCTTTTGGAACCATCTAAAAGTGTCTTAATCTGCTACTCCATTTGTTAAAAGTATTGACAAGTAGTGGATCAAACTGCAAAGGGTGAAAAATATCCAAAACTAAGCAGTTCATGACACTGGTAAGTTTTCTTTTTCAGGTTAACAGGGATAGCCGCCATCCTTGTCAACTGTAGAAAGTTATACTGTCTAGAGACGAAAATATTAGGCGAATTTAAGGCTGTTATGGCATGCTCAGAATTCTTTTTCCTGAATTTAGTGTCAGCTTAACTCTCCAAAGACAAATATTTGAGGTGGTCACTGTAATGATCTGTAATACCAAGGCAACGGTACATCTTAATTGATATTTCAAGTGTGAGTGAGAAGTGGCTGCACCAAGCATCCAAATGAAAATAAGCAGAAACCAATTGCCTATAGCCCAACAAGAGTAGTAGGTAATCTGTCTTAACAAATCCCACATTTTAAGGAGGCTTACCTGTAGATATTCTTTAAGTGACATGATAATAAAAAATTCTTTCCGTTGACGGCGTATATAACTTACACACTAATAGAAATACCTTAGGGTGCACAATTCCGAATGTTCCAATTCGATTTCCTTTGTAAACAATTTTAGCTTGTCTTCCCTGAAGAAATGCAGGCTCCTATGACACAATAAGACAGAAATAAGCACAGACGGCAATACTCATAATGAAATGAAAGAGAGAATTGGAAAAATGCAAACAGTACCTCTGATCTTTCTATGTAGTAGCCTTCACAGTCCCCAGGTGATACAAAAGAAGTTCCAGTTGCTTCCATGATTCTGTCGACTAGACCATGTATTAGCTGGAAAAAATGTCAAGACAGTCAAGCCTTTAAGTGTCTAGAAGCTAGTGCACAACCTACAGGACTATTATAATTATACATATGACTCCGATAACAGAATGAAGCAATCAAACCATTGCTTGGAAGACAGAACAACTTATGTTTAAGGAAGTTCCACTCAAGATATTTTTAGAGTAGAACTTCACCTATAAGCAAAATGGCGAAATATATTTTATTCAAGAACCTTTCAAATTTGGTCCTGGCTAAGAATTTGCAAAAATCATCACAGCACAACTGATGTCGAAGAAGGATTACAAAATATTCTCTCCCACCTAAGCTAATGATGGACTTTTCCAGAACTCTGTGCATACAAGTAGTTCTTGCAAAAAGGAGAATGGTACTTGCAATGATCCATGTCAAAGAAGATACTCCCTCAAATCCAATATAGCAACCTATTCTAACTAGCACAACATTTAAGAGCAAAATGTTTGAATTGATTATTATATTAAATTTGGTAAATAAGTGTTTTAACAATCGTTCCAAAGTAAAAGTGGAGAACTCAACTGAAAGATGTCACATCCAATTTGAAATAACATGGAGGGAGAAAAATTTTCCCTTTAAATAGAGGCCAAGCTAATTAGGGTAGATCATAAAAGGAAGTAGGTCAATCTTATTGCAACAGAGGGAGCAAATGGAAATGGGTCACTCTGAGAGGAAGACGAAAAGAGAATCTGCAGGGACTGGATGGCAAGGGTGAATTCATAATTAGGTCCAGCTCTCCATTATGAAATAACATTCACGACTGAGGCAATAGAACTATTTTCATATGCCCAACAGCCTTTCCATTTAAATTTTCACTGGCAACCAAATCTCCCTGAAAAAAAAAGTACAGACCTAAACTGAGCTTCCTTTACAAGTAAAATAATTCACCCAAATTACAATTCATATTCCACCAACTGGAGCTTGCAATGTGCAGCAGATGCTACAGAAAGTCTCTATGCATTTCAAATAGCACGTTCACATCCACGGCAATCGCCAAGAAGATTTTGCAGAACAGATAAACTACCAATATATGAGCTACAAATGTGGTACATCTGTACCTCAAATCCTGAGTTAGCGCCGCAATACAGAGCAGCAAGGTGGCGACGGTTTACTGCACCAACATCCTTTGTGCCATCTAACAGGACTACATCACCAACCTCAAAAATCTGAACCAAAATGAGATAAAATAACATGCAGAAGCCACTCTCAAAAGAAATGGCAAAGGAGATATGCATGACAGTAACAAGATGGTCACATAACTTATTACTTGGAGATAGCAAAGGAGAACTGACAAGTGTCACTTTAATTAAGCAGAAAATCCCTTCACTGGTTGTTATAAAAAGCATCTCGCACATGATTAAACTTCTATAGCCTACTTCCTTCTCGAAAAGATTCAACCGGATAACTCACAAGGTTAGCCAGAAAATATTCAATTCTATTAGACGACTTGGTGCGTACTGCTATTTACTTAAAACTCTCATTAATTGCAATCCTGAGCTTACTTCACACGTTGAAGCAATAATGCCAGTGGCAGAGTAATGGCAGGAAACCATGCAGGAGTTAGTTATATTCATTTACCTTCATAGGCTTTGGATGGTCCTTGTTATGTCCAACGGTTCTCAATAATCCAGGCATGAGATTAGTCCGCACAACCTGCAAAGCAAGAGCTGTTTCAGTTACCAGCATTTGGTATATAATTATGCAAATAGAAGAAACCTGCAACTTTGTACAAATTTTTTAAAGTAAGTGTGTAGTTTGCATTGAACTAAATCTAAATCAAGAACAGAATAATTATACAAAGCATCATCACCTTTAAGTAGGTAAACAATCTTTTTCACTAGACTGGATAAAGGGGATAAAATAACGACTTTTTCCTCATCTACATTAACTACCTCTGCAGCGTCCTCTCTCCCTTTACTAGGGAAGAGACATGTTTAAGTTTGAATTCAAGATATCTAATTTTGACATACAACAATTTCCTAAAAGAAGCAAAGAGCATAAATGAAAGATTTCAAATACAAACTTCTTATTTTGGGTTTCATGAAAATCTTATCATGATTCTTTCTTCTACATGCCACTTAGAAATTGCACATATCTGCATGTGCATCGTGTTTCATGTGGCAGTAGGTAATGAAAAAGTGCTAACTGGGCTTGAAGCCATTTGAGGAGACAACATTCTGTGGATCAGTAGGATATTCAATAGATTGACATTCTACTTGGTGTTCTTTGGCCTGTAATGAGAAAATCTAGGATCTGGCAAATCAGGATTAACCTAGAAAAGCTTAAAGGGCCATTTGAAAAATTTATCTGGCTTATCAGCTTAATTGTCGGCATATATAAGAACATGCATAAGCTGTATTTTCAGGTTGAAAGAAATCATAGGCATATTTGTGATGGATGCACAAATTTTTTTTGGATGGCATAGACAAATGATATACGCAAATCAAGCAAATGGATGCATAGATTTCAGATTGAAGGACGGCAATAAAGGATTATAGTGTAAGCCCGACATCAGAAAGGAGAATCCGTCCATCCTAGTTATGGGTGCTAAGCAAAAAGTTGATGGAAGTTGTGGAAAATTATTGGCCAAGAGGTTTTCCAGTTCGGACTAATCTGGCTATCCTATAATACCTTCTACACATGCATTCAGTGGATTCCATCAATTTTTTGTAAGGCAGGAGAACAACTCAGATTCAGAGAGGTCCTACAAGGTACAGCATGTGAAGCAATGCACATTAATCTTGGCAAAGATCTGTCTCTATGGGTTAATGATATTTAGAGCTTCCAAGAATGTCAGGTTATGGCATTGGATCTTCTCCCTCCTCCCAACATACCTTGGACTTTGTATGAGATTAAGTCACAAGTCAAAAGCTGGAGCAATAGAAAATACTTGAAAAGACTAGTTTCACAACAGTAAAGACATCAAGGGGTAATGCTGGGACTTTAAATTCATGAGATACAAATACTGGGATGGGAAGCGGACAAACATCTATTATCAAGACTATCCCGTACATCCTCATCAGGTGATCAAGGAAGGAGAGAAAAGCATGAAAAGTTCACAGTCAACTCTACAACATCCTCTACAAGAACATGGGGGTGAAGCTCAGTGATTCATGATGTTAAAATGAGAATGAAATACAGACAGTGCTGTCCTTCTGCTTTGTTGTCTCTTCGAGGTAAAATCACTCATGTTTGTGGTGCTAATTCCCGTGTTTTTTTCTAGTCTAATTTAGTTGCAAGAGCCTCACTCTCCCTATCCCTTACTCATTATTGAAAGCCTTCCATGGAGTGCAATTTGAAGTACAAAGGGTTCGCTAAAGGTATATCTTTTTTTCTCTCTTTTTTAACAGGGGAAGCCACGTGTGTGGCAATACTCATGCAAGACCATCTCCAAGAAAGAGGAAAAATGCAGTATTATAGATGCCGGATAGGTCCAGAAACTATGAACATTGAGAGTTGACGTGGGAGCTGTGGAACATGTTTCTTTCATTTTTGGGATAGTACAGAAGACGCTGAAAAAAAATAGCCAATGCCTCGTTAGTTGGGGAGGATGCCCAGTCCCAAAGGTAGTTAGGATGTTTCAACTTCCGAGGCACAACCATTTTAAGCATTATGTGACAAATATGGAAAGGAAGGAATAATACATATGAGGGAGTGGCACATCTGAAGCATAGTTTGAAGTATAATTGTCTTACAACTTTATTCAAGACAACAACACCAACAACATACCCAGTAATTCCCATCCAATGGGGTCTAGGGAGGGTAATGTGTACACGGACCTTACCCCTACCTTGTGGGGGTAGAGAGGCTTACAACTTTATTCAAGACTACAAAAAGATAATTGCCTTACAACTTTATATCTTTTAAGCGATCAGTTCATGTAAATGACACGTGATTATAGTGGATCTTTTGAGATCACTGGACCTGTAAACTTATAAAAAGCTTTTGTAGTGCTAATGTGGGCCTTTTAGGGGGGAAAGCATAGTATATGTGCAATGCAGCACCAAGAGCTTCCAATAAATCAGCGAAAGGTAGCTTCTGATATTTGGAACATGTTTATCACAGTTTTGGTTTAAGATGGGTCATGCCTAACAGTCTCAAGGATGCCACATCAGTTGGATCTCTTGGAAAGTTGATAAATCCATCAAACAAGTCTAGAAAATGATTCCTGCTTGTATTTTTGGTGTGTTTGGAATGAGAGGAATAGAAGATGTTTAGATGGAATATCAACTCCAAACCACGACCTTAAGGCTAGTTGTCTTTAAAATTTATGTAGCTTGGATAGTTTGTCCCCTGTAGACTATCATGCCAAACTTTTGGACTCTTTTAGCTCTTTATCCTTAGCATAGGCCTCATTGTAACAGAGCTAACAAACTCATTTTTGTACTTCCGTTATTATGCATCTATTTGATGCCATTTATAATACCGCTTCATAAAAAATAAAAATAAAATTACGCGAAAGCTAAATCACAATTTGGAGGGAGGGAAGGCTATCTTAGCCCACCAAGACACCGCATAGAACAACTGACATAAACTTATGTGTTTTAATCAGCCTCTTTTCAACACATCTTGTGTTTACCTCACTGCACATGCACAAGATTCAAAATAAAATACTCTTTTTTAATCAAGAAGAATATTCAAAGTGAAAATGCTAAATCTTCTTCTTCCTAATTTAACTGATTAAACCATGCCATAAGGGGTTTCTGACAGAGGACCAAAGAGTCGATTGACAACTTAAACTCTTTCCGGGACAGAGCAGACTCACCTCAAATTCAGATGTACGAGAATCAGCAATGATTACAGCAGACTTATCCTCTTCACAGTTCAACATGGAAGAAATTTCTCTCTTGGAACACAAGATCCATGTTAGGACCTCCGTATAACCAGCCATTGCAATCTAAAATTGAAAAGACATTAAGTTAGATGAAAAGCAAGTTATCAACAACAACTTGTGAATCAGGGATGCAATCGAATACATACACACAGGACAACTTCATGAGGCAAAAAAAAACAAGTTAGTGTTTTTTAGAGAAATTATGTGACTGGCACAGAATACTTAAGTACAAACCTGCATTTAAAGAACTATTCATATAGTTTAATCAGATAACACCAATATCATATAGTTTAATCAGATAACACCAATAAGCATTTTTTTTGGGGGGGGGGGGAAGGTAAAATATCCAATATATTAATCAAATCATCAGCACAGAGTTTGTACTGGAAGCCAAAATTTATATCTTGAAATGCTTAAACAAAAAGCATAACATCAATAAGCATTAATTATCTACAACATCATACCATGAAGAAATGTAAATGAAAGGACTGCAATTAATTGAAGACCAAATTGTGAAAAGAACAAATGAAGAGGGAAGTACCTGATCAAAAGAAAATAAACGAAGAAGGCAGCACAGGAAGGGGTAATTAATCCAGCTAGAATACAAAAAACATTGGAACTAAAATTGAGACTTTGAAACTCCCTCCCCACCCCTTCCTGGCTAGAACTTGATAAAAGGCTAAAGTTCGTTTAACGAACTCTAAAAGTCCCAAAAATATATTACCACATTCAAGTAAGAGGCAATGTCAAGAGAAGAAATAATTTTATGAAAGATCACATGTAACAGAGACTATACAGAAACACAATAGAATGATGCTACCTTCTGCAAAACAAATAAATGCCCATGACAGCTTCAAGTCTGTGTTTACAATATGAACTCTCAAACACAGAGGTGTATAAACACATTACCTCCGACCGAATTAGATCACTAAATTGACTGAGAGGTAAAGGCTTCAATGATGCAGGTCTTCTCTTCGGGATCTCATTGTAGCCATAAGCAATTGCAACATCCTTTTGAAAAGAATACAGAGTTTGAAGCCATATAAGAACGACAGCAAAGCTATAGTGGGATAGTAACTATAAGCAGTAATGCATCAAAGCAAATACCTCTGCTACATCACAAGGATGAAGGACATCACTTCTTGTGGGGGGTACCGATACGACAAACTTGACTTCTGCATTTTCTGAGACAGATTCCACTGCACGCAATTGCATTTTATGCAACAAACTAGCCACCTGAAATGTCGTTTAGCTGTTTAGAGTCTAACGAAAAAATTCAATCTTCTATTTCCTACCATAGGATAATCTATCTATCTATCTATATTATTATAAAAGTGAGAAGCTCTTAACTAAAAAGTTGAATTGCTTAAATACCCTTTTAAATAACCTAAATACCCAACTTATACCAAGAATTTAAATAAAACATCAAATTTTAAATAAGACACTAAATTTATTTGAAAATATGATCCTTCATATTAGTGAAGCTAGCGACTCTTTACAACCTTGTCTAACAGCGAACGTTTCATTTTTGTGCAGGCATATCAATTAAAATACAAAATAAGAAAATAACAGAAAGCCTAAAATGAGAGGTTACTGAAATTTAAAATAAAAAAGTCCATGATTTTGGTTCATATCTCTTTTTGATATGAAACCTTCTTGCAAGGTAGGTTTTCATGGACATTTTTCACCTTTTTATATTCCTTGAAGAAAATGGAGAAACTTTATAAAATTTTGAAATTATCCCCAAGAGCTGGCTTAATAATTGTCATTATTTGCTTAATGATAGCAATACCATTTTTCAATTCTTGAGTTTATGTTAGCAAAGTAATATAATATAACGTGTGTGTCATGCAGTTTGCATGTTAGTAATAGTGAAACCACTTATTAGAGAAGAACGAAGCAAGATAATAGAGATAATAGTTACAAATGAAAGGTAAGTTAAAATCAAACAAATTTTAATAAAAAATAATCATTGACCAACTAGGATAAGTTAATGAAATTTATGTAATTTGTAATCTTAAAATATCGATGTAATCAATACAAATGTTACTTTATCATGCGGAATTTTGCCGAAAAGATGGTGAGCTTTTAAAAAAATGAATGATGTTAAACCGGCCAATGTCATACATGTGTGAGAAAGCACGGGAGAAAATATTATTAATTATCTAAAGTGTTGTATAACGCCCTATTTATATAGGGTGATTACATAATAATAGGTATCTACTTCCCGATATGGGACACTATACATGACTAACTACTTAACACTCCCCCTCAAACCGGTGCATATAAATCATATGTACCGAGCTTGTTACAGATGTAACTAATACGAGAACCAATAAGAGACTTGGTGAAAATATCTGCTAGCTGATCATTTGACTTTACAAACTTTGTAACAATATCTCCTGAGAGTATCTTTTCTCTGACAAAGTGACTGTCGATCTCAATGTGTTTAGTGTTCCATGTTCTGGATTTGACGCAATATGAAGAGCAGCTTGATTATCACACACCAGTTCCATCTTGCTGATTTCTCTGAACTTCAACTACTTGAGCAACTGCTTGACCCAAACTAGCTCACACGTTGCCATAGCCATGGCCTGATATTCGGCTTCGGCGCTAGATCGAGCAACTACATTCTGTTTCTTGCTCTTCCAAGAGACCAAATTACCTCCTACTAGAACATAATATCCAGACGTAGAACGTCTATCAGAAGGTGATCCTGCCCAATCAACATCTGTGTACCCAACAATCTGCTCGTGGCCTCGAATAGTAATCCTCTGCCTAGAACTGACTTTATATACCGAAGAATGCGAACAATTGCATCCCAGTGACTATCACAGGGAGAATCCATAAACTGACTTACAACACTCGTCGGAAAAGAAATGTCAGGTCTAGTCACTGTTAGGTAATTCAATTTGCCAACCAACCTCCTATATCTTGTAGGATCTCTAAGAGGCTCCCCCTGTCCAGGCAGAAGCTTAGCATTCGGATCCATAGAAGTGTCAATAGGTCTGCAGCCCATCATTCCAGTCTCCTCAAGAATGTCTAAGGCATACTTCCGCTGTGAAATAACAATACCTGAGCTACACTTAGCGACCTCAATACCTAGAAAATACTTCAATCTGCCCAGATTCTTAGTCTCGAAATGCGGAAAGAGATGCTGCTTCAGATTAGTAATACAATCCTGATCATTGCTAGTAATAACAATATCATCAATATAAAATACACATATTAAGAGCAGAATGCCAATAAAACACAGAGTGATCAGCTTCACTACAAGTCATGCCGAACTCCTGAATAACTATGTTGAACTTGTCAAACCAAGCTCGAGGGGACTGTTTCAAACCATATAGTGACCTGCGCAATCGGCATACAAGACCACTAGACTCCCCCCCGAGCAACAAAACCAGATGGTTGCTCCATATAAACTTCTTCCTCAAGATCACCGTGGATAAAAGCATTCTTAATGTCTAACTGATAAAGAGGCCAATGACGTAAAATAGCCATGGACAAAAAGAGACGAATAGATGCTACTTTAGCCATGGGAGAGAAAGTGTCACTATAATCAAGCCCAAAAATCTGAGTGTATCCTTTTGCAACAAGGCGAGCCTTAAGCAGATCAACCTTGTCATCCGGGCCGACTTTGACTGCATAAACCCAACGACAACCAAGAGTAGACTTAGCTGAAGGAAGAGGAACAAGCTCCCAAATGCCACTCGCATGTAAAGCAGACATCTAGTCAATCATAGCATGTCGCCATCCTGGATGAGATAGTGCCTCACCTGTAGACTTAGTGATAGAAACAATGGACAAAGATGATATAAAAGTATAATGAGGTGATGACAGACGATGATAACTTAAACCGACATAATGAGGATTAGGATTAAGTGTGTATCGTACACCTTTGTGGAGTGCAATTGGTTGACTAAGAGGAGACAAGTCCGCAGTAGGTGCAGATTCTTATGCAGGACGCGAATCACCTAGACCTGATGCTGGACGTGGACGACGATGATAAGTCAAGAGTGGTAAAGCTGCAGAAGGTTGAATTGGACTAGGTGGTGGAACTGGAGCTATAGGTGGTGGAACTGGAGCTATAGGTGGTGGAGCTGCAACTGGAGCTGTAGGTGGTGGAGCTGGAGTTGCAGAGGAAGATGAATGGGAGATAATGACTGAATCTCCAAAAGATGAAACTGGTAGCACCTCAGAAATATCTAAGTAATTACTTGAACCTATGAAGTATGATTGGGTTTCAAAGAAGGTAACATCAGCGGACATAAGGTACCTCTGGAAGTCAGGAGAATAGCATCGATACCCTTTTTGCGTTCTCGAGTAACCCAGAAATACGCACTTAAGAGCACGAGGAGCTAACTTATCTTTTCCTGGAGTAAGGTTATGAACAAAACACGTGCTTCCAAAGACTCGGGGTGGAAGAGAGAACAAAGGTAAGTGGGAAACAGGACAGAGAATGGAACCTGATTCTGGATAGCTGAAGATGGCATACGACTAATAAGATAGCAAGATGTAAGAACTGCATCCCCCCAAAAACGCAACGGAACATGAGATTGTATGAGTAGGGTACGAGCAGTTTCAAAAAGATGTCTATTTTTTCTTTCAACTATCCTATTTTGTTGAGATGTGTACGGACAAAAGAGTTCATAAACTGCTGAAATGGGAAAGACAAATACTCTAGGAGCACTATCACTACGAAATGTGCGGATAGAAACCCCAAATTGATTTTGAATTTCAGCGTTGAAGGTCTGGAAAATAGAAAACAACTCAGATCGATTTTTCATCAAAAATATCCAAGTGCACCTGGAATAATCATCAATGAAACTGACACAGTAGTGCAATCCCAAGGTAGAACTGACCCGACTAGGACCCAAACATCTGAATGGACTAAAGTAAAAAGTGACTCTGCTCGATTATCAAGACGCCAAGGGAAATGGGAGCGAGTATGCTTACCGAGCTGACATGAGTTACACGCTAGAGTGGACAAGTGAGATAAACCAGGTACCATTTTCTGAAGTTTTGACAAACTAGGATGTCCCAACCGTTTATGTAATAAATCTGGTGAATCGGTAACAAGACAAGTTGTTGAAGGAAGACGAGATGTGAGTCCATGTGATTTTGCAAGGATAAGGTAATAAAGTCCATTTGATTCACGCCTGGTACCAATGAATCGCCATGTACTGCGTTCCTGTATAAAAACAAGGTCATCAAGAAATAAAACAGAGCATTTAAGTGATTTGGCCAAGCGACAAATGGCTATGAGATTAAAAGGACTACCGGGAACATAAAGAACTGAATCTAAAGGTAAGGAAGGAAGTGGACTTGCTTGACCTATTCCAGTTGTGGTGGTTTAAGACCCGTTGGCCATTGTGACTGTTGGGAGAGATTGAGAACATGAAATAGTAGTGAAAAGAGATTTGTTACCAGAAATATGATCAGATGCACCTGAATCAATGACCCAAGACTCAGAGGTTAAAGATTGGGAGACACAAGTCACGTTACTATCTGTTTGAACAACGGAGGCTATCCCTGAAGATGTCTGTTTACATGCTTTGTACTGAAGGAACTCAATATAATCCGATAAAGACACCATCTGGATCGGATTCAATGCATTGGATCCAACGGATTGTGAGTCAAAGGCTTCTAATACGAATGACATTATAATGTTCACGCCGGAAAAATCGGAAACCCTTCTAGAAATTACTATTAACGCCAGAAAAATCAGAAAATTTTCTGAAAATCACTGTTCACACCGGAAAAATCACCGTTTATGCAGGAAAAATATAAAAGTGGTCGGAATTTGGTTTAAATTGGATGGGTAGACTTGGAATTTCAAGGCGATGACACTGTCCAAAAGAAACTTTTTCAAATTCTGGCCGGAACAGTTCTCACGCGCCGGCGCGTGGGACAAACGCGCCGTAGGCGTCAAATCTACTACAGGCGCGCGGGGGCGCGTGAGTGGGCTTTTTCAGGAAAATCTTTCTGGGGTTTGGTCGCCTCTCTCTTGGGAACCTTTTGGTGGTGTTGGATTTCGCACAACACTGATAATTAGTGACTTTGACGTAAATAGTCGCTTAGGTCACCGGAAAATCGTACGGTGACTAAGTTCTTTCTTTCCGGATGTCGCTAGAATGACGCACAGCGATCTCTTCTCACCGATGCTCGATACCATGTGAGAAAACATGGGAGAAAATATTATTAATTATCTAAAGTGTTGTACAACGCCCTATTTATATACAGTGATTACATAATAATAGGTATCTACTTCCCGATGTGGGACACTATACATGACTAACTACTTAACATGCAAAAATTATAGCAGGTCAATCTGCTACCAAGCATACTTTTATCCTAAAAATTCAAAGATCTCCCTCTCTCACACCAAAAAAATGAAGGATATGTTTTAAATTCGTTCAAAAATAATTTACTGTACGTTTATATTTTGCAATGATGATAAATAAATATATGGTCAAACAATTTCTAACGTATCTACCACAATATGTTTTCTCACATGGCCAATTTTACATTGCACTTTCAAGAGGATATCAATGTCAACAAAGAGTCCGGGTCATGACAGAGGAATCAAAATAGATGAAATGAACATATGCCAAGAATACCGTCTATAAAGAAGTATTAGTTAAGATACGCTTCACTACAGTTTGTACCTCATAAAATAAAAATAAGTAAAAAGTCATATTTATCTAATTAAACTTTGATTGTCTCATCTTCTTATGTTTAGATGATATCCAATCATCTTGACATCAACAAACAAGTCATTATACGATGATCCACATTTATCATTTGCAGAAATTTATGTGACGGCATTATCTTTGATAATTTTTTTATATAGGAATGTATGAATTATATTTGTACATGTTTACTCACTTATTTTAATCTCATACTTTTCAGATGTAGTTTGTATTTTAGTAACAGTAAAACCATATATTGTAAAAGGACGAAGTAGAATAAGAGAGATAACAGTTACAAATAAAAGATTAAGTTATTAGAACATAAGCTCATTGGGTTGTTGTTGTTGTTGCTAGGAGATCACACTGTGCATCTTACTTTATTCAATAATTTTCTTTTCCTCTTATCTTGTTGAAAGCTACTTTCTGATCACAGTTATATTGTGATTCAGGTGTGAAGCATTCTCTGCATACCCAAGGACTTACGATCTCATTCATGCTCATGGTCTTTTCATTTTATACAAGGATAAAGTGTTCNTGGGGAGGACAAGCTCATAGATTGATGACTCCAATGTTCACATGTACATTGACTAGTAAAAAAAGGTAACTCCATATATTCTGGTTATCTGACTCAATTTTTAAAAGACAATCAAATTGTGGAAATCTCAATTCCATTAAGGACGACCTAGAATATGTTTTAAATGTTAGCAAGAGGAGCTGCAACTCGTGTCAACTTATATGTAGTTCCTCCGGTCGCGAGCTTGTTGTAGACGGTCCAAGGGGAGAACGCCTCAACCCAAAACTAGTTGGGTTGGCTATATGAATCCCCTATATCCATCCTTCTATTTGGACCTATTTCACCCCAATACTAAACAATTTGACTGTTAAAGCAAATTAGTGGTTCTCCAAAACTATCTATTCTTTAAATCAAACACTTATGCCAAGCAAAATTTGTCTGCAAATGAATCAACTTCAAATCAGTTTCATAATGTACATATAGTAATTCACAATTCCCTTCCAAATAAGCCAGGCTACAGAATTTTTCAAAAAATCGCATCTAGTGGCAGCTAATAGAAAGATGTCCTAATACGGTGAGTGGTATCTTAGTTTCCATCAATCTGATGGAAGGGAGTAGACACTCAGAGCTTCAAGACAAACATGGAAGTACTAAAAAAAATCAATTATCATTGTATATGATGCATTTTAGGGATGTCCTATTTTCCTATGAGGCATAAGTTATACTATAGACCAATCAAAATCCCCAGATACTGTAACGACATCCACCACTCACACTAATGTCTATGCAACCATGTGGAGTTGGTATAGTCACCATAGCACACAGGTTTCTGTCAGCTAAATCCTGAACATCTCATATATTGGAAATTGCAGAACATTTGTGACCAATATCATAATTGTCATGATTCTCATGAAAATAAGAAGATAAAATGACAGAAACTTGTGTATATGAGATAAGAAGAAAAAATGGAAGGCAAAACTCTATAATACCTCATTCTCTGGCAATTGAACTCCAATGATGCCAGTGATGTAGGACAAAGGCACATTCATATTGTAGATTGAGAGATCAGGATAAACAAACGATTTTCCATCAGGATATGTTACTTTAACTGGTTCAACTTCAAACTTCCGCTCACAGTACACTGAAAACATAGTTACCTGCAGATAATATTTAATTATTCAGACACCCAGCAAACTGAAGGACGAAAAGAAAAAGAGCCCCTCAGCTTCTTCTATTCCTACCATTGTGTTCAAAACAACATTGGCCTTCGTCAAATCTGTGGCTGTACATTCTATAAACACGTTCTTTGTTTTCAACGTAATGGCCGAATGTGCACCGTTGATAATGGGGGGCAAAGACAAAACAGTCCTGCAGAACAGACAGACAGAGAGAGAGAGAGAGATTAATGAGTTGCAGAAAGATAGTGGTTCCTTCGCATGCATTCAGGTATTGATCACTTCTCATAACAGCTAAGCATCTCAAGTATTTCTTTCTTTGATAAGTAAACATATCGATTTTATTAGATTAACAACAACAACAACAACAACAACAAACCCAGTATATTCCCAACAGGTGGGGTCTGGAGAGGGTAGTCTGCACGCAGACCTTACCCCTACCTAATGCAGGTAGAGAGGCTGTTTCCAATAGACGATTTTATCAGATTCCAAACAGCTATTAATAGCTGTCTCTGACAAAATGATCTGCCTAGGATATATCCAACTAAAAAATGAGTGCTGACAGGCTCCATACAGTTTGCCTAATAGTTTCTCGAGTTTTATTGAACAGTTTGTCAATAGCTATCCCATTCAAAATGTGCAAGCAAAATATAGTACTCCCTCCGTTTCAATTTATGCGACACACTTTCCCTATTAGTCCGTTCCAAAAAGAATGACACATTTCTAATTTAAAAAAAATGAAGTATCATTAAAAGCATCCAGAAGATGCAAAGATTACAAGAGAGAAGAATCTGAAAGCTCAAATGAAACATTTCTATATTTGATTTTGAAAAACAAAACTTTTCATTTTACCTATATTACCCTTAATGAGAAGCTTTTACAGCCACACAAATTGAAGGCCCCGCAAAAGCTTTTACCCTTTAAGCTTTTAAAACCACGAGTTTAAAAAGTCTTTCTTTTTTTCTTAACCTCCGTGCCGAGTCAAACTACGTCACATAAATTGAAACGGAGGGAGTACACAAGAAACTATATAACTATTGGAGTAAAGAAGTCTCAAGACCCACAAAAAAATTAATTACTCTCACTATTTTCAAGCCATAAACTCTTTTCATGAACTGTAAGCAAAGAGGTCAACTGGCATGCAGCGAAGTAAATAAATGCAGTAAGATAGCTCCAGACCAGAAGGCTCATTTGTAAACTCGATACCTTTTACAATCATATATAACAGGGTACACTGGTGAATTCTCGATTATGTGCAGAAACTTCTTCAACTTCAAATCCGACTATAAATTCAGGGCGGCAATGTGTTAGAGATGTTGTTTAAAGCATAAAATTAACTTCAGTAAATCTTCAACATAACACCTAAACAAGAAACAATAATAATCAGACTAAGAATAAAAGCTTAAGTTGCAACTCACTTTGTAAAATTCCATCAGCTCATCAGCTCTGAAGTTTCTGGTCTGAAAAAACAGCCAATTTCAATATCAGCATTAACACCAACATAACCTAGGCCAACTGCCAAAATAAAACCACTTACCTGCTTTAATGGCACAAAATTAATTTCCGAAGGAGGCAAAGCCTGAAATTAGAGGGACAAAAGGTTTCAGTATCCAATCAGAAACTACTTAGAGAAAAGAACGCAGTGCACGAAAATCAGATTTACAAGGAAAAATCAGGCTGTCACTCTAATTTTAGAGCTAGTAATACATGGAAAACTTTGAATTAAGTATACCAACTGGCGTATACCTCATATGTGAAAGGTCCTTCAATTGTATCTAGGTCATGGGTACCAATTGCCACCAAGGTTCTTCGCCTACGAAAAGCAAAAAAAAGAGAATAAACAACAAGGACCTAAGCGTGAGCAGGAGAAAACATATGCAAGATTTTTAAAGATAATAACGATGTGATTCCCCACAATATAATTCAGGAATGATTCATAATAGTTTTGTATGGATACTACTCAGGGAAAAAGTTCAATAGTGACAACCTATACGGGTTGGCCAAAGTTCAATATTGACAACCCATACAGGTTGGCCAAAGTTCAATATTGACAACCCATAAGGGTGTGGCCTGGTGATCAATAATAATGATAATAATAATAAGCACCACCACCACCATCACCACCCTAGGGTGTGGCCTAGTGGTCAATGAAGTGGATTAAAACATGGGAGACCATAGTTCAATCCCAGCATAGACAGAAAATACTAGTTGATGTCTTACTCATCTACCTATACTTTGTTTAGGTAGAGTTATCTGGTGCATGTGCTAGTGGGAGATAGCATGCACCGATGGAATAGTCAATATGTGCAGAAGCTGACCCAAACACCATCTTAATCAAAACAATAATACATTATGTGATAGAGAATTCTTCTAAAATCTTATCTTTATTCATACCCAAATAGAGAAGGAATAAAATGCAAAAGTCACGATTCATGGCACTTCTACTAAAGATCACGTCAGTATGAGAACTTGGAGGTTAGTAGGAAAGATACACAGTATACCAGTTGAGATAAACAAATGAAGGGATAGTTAAGGTCAATGATCCTCTACATCTAACGGAAGTGAAACAAAAAATACAACCCCACCCCCATCCCCACCCCAAAAGTAGAAATGAAAAGGAAAGAAATAGAGAATAATTTTTGTTCTCTGGATGCCTCTTTAAGCAACTAAATAGAATCCAGCTACTTTTTACACTATTTGCACACTTTCTCCTCAGCATGTAAGCCATTGCATCCATCGATACACAAGTTTCCCCAAAATTCAAAAATTAAAAGATACCCCCTGCTATCTATCTTTACATATTTTACAAATAGATCTGAAGACAAGTTTTACCCAAACTTGCAAACATTTCGAATGTCACCTTACCCTTCCACCTTTAACAGACGCTCAGAACTTTGTGATACAACAACTTTCTATAATGAATACCAGACTATTTGCCTGCGACAGAGTTTTTTTTAAGTACGGCTTGTACTATTATAACTGCTCTTATGCTCTAGTATAACTGTGAGCTCTTCCTTATTTTACAGTTTAACCAACAACAAAAAACTGTGAGCTCTTTCTTACTTCAACAAACAATAAAAGCTTCTAATTGTTGTGCATTGATATAGCATAGAGAGGGCAGTATCAAATCGTACCCTTCTCTACCGCCAAGAAGTTCTCATAACGGGTACATCCTGAGTCATGTTGGCATGTAAAATTGGTCCCCAAAATGTTAAAAAAATAAATGGTGCATTGTTAGTACAAGAAAAGACACATGCTTTATGTCTATCCCAGAAAAAGACTTATGCTCTCATTGAGGTGAAATATATTGTATTTCTTATCTCTCATAAGCTCTAAAAGACATTGAGAACATAACCCCATTTATTTTTTTGCGACAAATAAGCTAATGCGCATAATTAGAGTAACCCTTTCATATCATAATTTATCTATAAACTTCCAGTCTCATTTACTGAACAAGCTAAGGTTTCTAAATAATTTCTTTCCAAGTCAAATTCCCTTTAAAGGGAAAAAGAACTGAAGGGTATCCAATCCATGTACAGACGCATCATACACGCATGGTAAGTTCAGGAAAACCAGTGCAAGTTATCTACTCACTGATTTCCTTATGAGAGCTAAAGGCATAACTACAAATTTTTACGGTATTTTTACAGCCGAGAAATAAAAAGATAAAAAAGTATAAGAATTAATTCCACCCCCAAGTAATCGACCACTACTTCAAGATGTCACCAAGAAAAATTTAACATCACGCAGGACTAACAGAAACCATAGCAACTAAAAGAGGTAAATAGGAATTTCAGCTGAAAAGAAAAGGGAAATAGGAATTTCAGTTGAAAAAGAAAAGGTAAATAGGAATTTCAAACTGCTCTTTATAGTATAGTAATACCTGCAAATGTTCTGATGCAGCTTATCTTGTAGATCAATGAAGCTATTGTACCTAGCCTCATCAAATGTTACACCTCTTAAGACAGCGCACACAACATATGGGCGGATCTTGGATGTCTAAACAGGAAAGGACAATCGTTAATGCAATAAGAAAATTCTTTATAACCCATTTTAGTTTCTTTACCACACATTTAGTGGTGGACAAAAACTTAACAAAAAAATAGCTTTATCAAGTAGTACCTCTTTTCCGACACGCATTTCAAGCATAGATTCTTTACCAATATTTGCCACCTTATATGTAGGGATAGGATCAAGCCCACCAAATATTCGGAGAGCTTGAGCTAGCCCTTCAAGACAAAGCAAATCATATCTGCAATACCAATTTGAATGAAAACATATTACACTGCCAGTTCGAATTAACAGCACCGCTGTTATGCTTCAAATAACGAATAATTAAAATTTCTAACAATCCCACTCCACTAAACAGAATTAAGCGCAAAATGCTAGTAAGCCACCACAGAAAATCAGTTATACTTGTTTCCAAATATTCAAAGCATAATCAAAAAACCCAAGATTTTCTACCAATTCAGGAAAATTCATTCTGCAATCTAATTATGAAAAGCACAAAGGACCACCTGTTTGCTGGAACTTCAATTTTGTATATAATCTCTCCATCATCTTCAGTCGCCTCTTCCTCCAGATGCTTCTCTTTTCTTTGCATTGCCTTTTCTGTTGTCTACATTTTTTTTTTCACACATGCATAAACTCAGTAGGAAACTAACAACCAATGCTTGGATGAAATAAACTTGCTGAAGAGAAGAACACATACAACAACAACAACAGACCCAGTGTAATCCCACAAGTGGGGTCTGGGGAGGGTAGTATGTACGCACACCTTACCCCTACCTTCAACAAGATAGAGAGGCTTTTTTCCGGAAGACCCTCGGCTTAGGAAAAAAGATAAAAAGGAAGGGCAGCAGCAAACACACCAATTAGAAAACCAAAACAAAAATACAAAGATACAAAACTAAAAATAAGTATTGTAATCACAAGGCCGGAACGAAAGCAAGGATTATACAAATTACTCCTCTCATCCCCATAAATGTTACTGACCCAGAGTATAAAAGCATAAAAAATGCTCAATTCACGGCTTTTTGAAAACAAAAATCTACATATTTGGGATATTATTTTTTGATCGAGTAAGTTTGTTTGGGATATTATTTTTTGATATAGTAAATTTGTTTGAGATATTATTTTTTGATCAAGTTTGTTTGGGATGTTAATTTAAGTAGAGAAGAATAGAGGGGCTGGCCCACTATCCATTGAGTATAGAACCGTGTGGCACTAACCTGGAGCCATTCGCCCCCGAAACTTTCTTGGTTATCAAAAACAAAAATACATATTTGGGAACTATAAAAATATTACTACTAAATAACAATCTTTCTAAAATTGTTAAAATATTTATATAATATTTTGAAAAATACATTCTAAGATTTTGATTCCCAAATAGTAATGTAGTTATCAAACAAGACACGGGGAGTTCATCAAAAAGGAACAAGTATGATAATTCAGTTAGATTTTCAAATATAAAAATAACAAGTATGATAATAAGCGGAATTTGGTGGTGCTTACAGCCTCCTCGAGCTCAATACCAAACTTAAAGCACAATTCGTCGAATTCTTCATAGGCTGCAAAATTATAAAAAAGCGAGTTCAATTAGATGGTACTTGAACGCCGCAATTTTGATAGTGTGCGAAAGGGCAAAAGTGGGAGAGATAGAAAGAGAAAACTTACTATAAGTACAGCCTAGGGCTTCGTACAGACGGTCTCTTCCAACGCTGACGGTTGGCATGGTGGCACTGAACAATGGCAGCGGCCGGAAATCAGAGAGCGATGGAAAGAGGGGAAGGGTATTGGGGGTGAAGACTTGGCATTCCTATTTTTTAAGCTAATTCCAAAACAATATAGGAACAGCAAATATTGTTGGTTCTTTTTTTTTTAATTTAATTAAGTATACTCAATAAATAATTTTGTTTTACTTTGTTGGAATGTATTAAAATTTGTCCAACGTTAGAGTTTGTATATTACCTTTTTTTTGTTGGAATGTATTAAAATATGCAAACTGAAATATACCAACAAAAAAAAAAAACATTAGCTTAACAACGTTAACTTTTTATGAAAAAAGGTAATATACAAACTCTTTAAGTTATAAATGATTTATTTATAAATAAATTTAAATCTCATTAATATAGTACTAACAATTAAGTTTTTTTTTTTTTTGTGAAATAGAATAAAATATACCAAACCAACATTCAAAAGTTACTCGAGCAGCAACTTAAGAGCATTATCGGACCAGCCAATTTAAGAGCATTATCGGACTAGCCAACTTTTACATCTACACAATCAACTTTTACTTTTAGTTAATTTTGAATTACCAAATTATTAGGACTTTTTTCATAGTTAAAATAAGAAAAGATTACAAGTAAAATTTTTATTGATTTTAAGCTCCTAAATATTAGAAAAATAATAAAATAAAAATTTATCTAGTGTAAAATCGACATTTAAAGAGTTAAAAAAATAAATGATATTTCGTTAAAGTGTTTCATACTTTTAAAATAGTATAGATATAGAATTAGGGCAGACAGACTTTCCTCTCCTATATTATAATAATAATAATACATGTATGGGTTATGTAAGTATTTCAACAAACTAACAATATAATTTGCTTTATTTATTTAGATGTACGAGCATAACATTGAATTACTTTGTTTATATTGAATTCTAATTTGGACTAGCCAAATTAAAGGTAATTGTGATATAAGTAATACTTATTGGTTGAACGTGGGTAAAAGGATAATTTCGGTAGGTAAAATCACAAAGTAAATAATAATGAGCATAAAAGAATATTAAGGTCAAACTTTTCATATAAAGCAAATAGTTGAGGCAAAGTGGCACAAGATCTTTATATCTCGATTCTTGTCCACAGTGCATATACATTTTCCACCAAACTGTCAAAGTATGGAGTTTTCCACCAAACTGTCAAAGTAGGGAAAATGTCTGAATTTATCCGTCTACCATGATATATAGTTTATATTTGTCTCTAGTTATACTTTTCATCCAAAAATACTCTCGTTAACAAATTATTTAAAATTGCCCGGACCCTAACGTCGTGTCCTTCGACACCCGACCCCTCTAATAATTTGTCCATGTCCAAGTTAGCAGGTCCCACTAACTTAAAATTACCCATCTCCATAAACTTGACCCATTCTACACGTGACCCATCCCATAAATATAGTCGACCCGAATGATCTTTCATCCTAAGGAAAGCATAATCCAAAGCTTCTTGTGTGTTTTATCATTTACTTAGGTGTTCTTATATTATATTATTATTCACTTGCCATTTCTAATTTTTGAGCTTATGTAAGTGTGAACAACATTTGTGTCCAAAAAAAAAATATATATATATATATATATGCCTTTAATTCCGAGTTACAATTGATCTTTTGTTGTTTTATGAGTCCATAACCAAAATGTGGTTCTTTTGGATTCAAAAAACCAAAATATGTGGAAAAAAAATATAGTGACCAAAATATATATAACGCCCTTTTAAAAGACGTTATAGTTGAACGTGAAAAGAGCGGGGAGGTATAACGCCTTTTATTTTAATAAAAGGCGCTATACCCACATAAAAAATCGTCCCCTTTCCTTACCCACCAAACCAGAAACTCTCTTCGAATGGAGCCCACCGGTCCCATAAAAAGTATAGATTCTTGGTCCCACATTCTTGCTAAGGTGTATTCTAGTAGTGGGTTGTTCGTTTCAGTTTCAAATCACCAAATCTTCAACTTTTCAAAAACCTTAAATGCATACTAGTTGTTTTTGTTAAAACCTGTATAAAAATGCATATTAGTTGTTTTTAATGTGCTCTATGTTATTTTGTGATTTAACAATTTGTTATTTTTTATTCGGACTATAGTATTAGTGTGCTAGAAAAATTAGTAAAACAAAGAAATTGTTATTAGTTGTTACAAAAATATTAATTAGTTACTTTTTACTGTGGTATATGTATTTTCATAATTTTTTTTTATTAAATTAATTTGTTGTTGCTATCCGCTTTAGATTATTTATTTGCTAAAAGACTAGTAAAATAGATGAATTGTTAGTTTAGTTCCCTATAGTGGTATCTTGTGGCCTAATGTAGTACTCGTATTTGTAATATAGTGCCCTTTAACGTAGTAAAATGTAGTGCCCTTTTAGCGTAGTATCCTTGTATCTATTGAAATTAATCATTTAAGTATCTCTTATACCCAAAAATACGTCAAAAAACTGATAGTTCAAACACAAACTTTGTTCAATTCTAGTCAACGATCGTAAGAAAATAACATGAGAAAATAACAATATTTTTCGGACTAAGTATTGTTATATGAATATTTAATTTTATTATAGTAAAAAATAAGCGAGTCATAAACAAAAATATATAATAATAAAACTAACATATACAATATTAAACTAACATTTAAAATAACAGACCTATTGAGTGATAAATCGGAAAAAATTTCTCATCATGAACACAAGAATTCAGGAAACCTTGGTGTTACTAGGCCTCGAATATCGAGTCAATAATCCATATGTAAATATTTAATAATTAAATCTTGTATAATTATGAAAATTAATTATTTAATTTTATTATAGTCAAAAATAGGTGAGTAACAAACAAACATATAAAATAATAAAACTAACATATTAAAGTAAAATAATATAATTAATATTGTTCAATTTATAGTAGCCGACATGGAGGTTCCGCCTTTGCATCCCGGACCTGCCACGCTAGAGCTACTGTTTCTACAAGGCGACCATAGGTCGTCCTACAAATGGGAGGGACAATTACTGGCCCAGTCGTTCCGCGCCAGGAGAGTAGACGATATGTGGGACTTTCTTAGGGCCCACCCTCTCCATTCACGTATAGTCAAATGCCTTCGGGATACGGGGTTTTATAGGATTGTGGAGATCGGACGGCTACAGCTGGATTGGTCGTTGATCACGACCTTGATAGAGTGGTGGCGACCGGAGGAGGATCACACATTCCATTTGTCCAGACCACTATCACGTTTCACGACGTGGAGCTCCTGTATGAGCTGCCCGTTGATGGACATTCTATTGCTTTGCCGAATGCCATTAGAGAGTATATGGTTTTGCAGTGCCTGGGGATGTTGCAACGGCTCGCCGGTTTCCACCCACCGGATGAGACTGCATTGATAGGGGCTAGTCGTTTGCAGTTGACGCACGTCCGACAACATTTGGAAGCGATGCACACTAACATCACACATGATACACTAGAGCTTCATATTCACCGATACACGAGGTTGTTGTTGCTGCTTATGTTTGGAGGGGTTTTGTTCCCGAACACTTCGAGGAACCTAGTTAGCTTGAGATTTCTTCATTGTCTTGAGCGGCTAGATGTTTTACATCATTACAGTTAGGGTGTTACTGTTCTCGGTTACTTCATACTTGTACAAGCAGATGTGTCGGGCGAGCATGGGTACCCATCGAGACGTTGCAGGATTTTTGCCACTGCTGCAGGTGAAAATATAGTCGAATACTCTCTTCATTATAACATACCTAGTAAAACTATACCTTAAATTTTACGTCCACGTTGTATATTAGGTTTGGGCCTGGAGTGGTTCCTGCAGTTGCAGACACCTCAACCACCCTTAGCTTCGGATGCACCACCTCCGTTTCTCCCTTTAGCTAGGAGGTGGGTTGATAGGCAAGGATATGGGCGGGAGTACGAGGCACAACATAATCTCCCATATTGCAGGGATTTGTTAGATTTGCTGGAGGGCGCATAGGTAAATGTATATCTAAGTTTACTTGGCCTGGCTTTATATGTGTTGTGTATACTCACGTTTCTTGTTTTACTTAACAGTTCATTTGGAGGTCATACAGCGACGAGCTAATAGCTGGTTTGTCCGACTTTTGCTCGATCAGCCGAATCATGTGGAGCTCTTCCGTCCCGTTGATGTGTCTCGATATTGTTGAGCATCATGCCACCCAGCGAGTACTTCACCAGTTTGGTCGCCCACAACTTGTACCGCCACCTCCCGCTTGGCATATGACACATTACCAGCGGGATGATCGTTCCAGGGTTGACCAGACATATGTGGCATGGCTAGAGGCGCAGATCGATATTTGGGACTAGAGGCATGACCTGATTCGCCACCCCTTCCACCTGACCATACGGATGGTGAGCATGAGTATATGGGCCGGTACCACAACGTTACCCGACTTTGCATCGGGAATCCGGTTTATTGCGCTGGCGGTCGGTACGTTCAATATACTGGGAGGCACGAGGCACTAGTATGTTATTTGGTATACTTACTTATAACGTTAACCTAGAGTTCCGTAATTTATATTTTATATGTTGTGTAGGCTAATGTCCTACATTTCTTCCACCAGTTGGGACTGCAGATACAACAGCATACCAGCGAGGGAGCAACCGCTTTGCACGAGTATGGTCGACAGGTTACCGATATGGCTTCCCGAACATTGAGACGAGCCTGAGATGATGAGTGATTAGGATACGAGACTGAGTATGTGGCGCCAGAGTAGTACCATCATGGGCCACTTGGGCCACTAGTGGAGTCGGAACATGGTCGACATGGCAGGCGTGCCGAGAGAGTTAAAGATGTCCCACGAGGTCGCGGGGGTCGGCGAGGAGGCGGTCCCCAGCCGTGTGACCACCATGAGACAGACCATGCTCCTAGAGATATGTCTTCATTCAGTCTTCAGCTTACTCCAGGGACTTCGCAAGTGACCTCGTCAGCTCCATTATTGATCGTGGGCATGACCATTACACGACATGAGTGAGATCAGTATTTTCCTGACCTATCGACCGTCGCCAATGATCGTTCGACACGAGATGTGGATAGTGGGAGCCGAC